CTATGGACGACACAAGGATATTCGAAGTGGAACATCGTTGCAATATTTGCAAGAAAGCCATCGTAGCAGAGGAACAGTGCGGTGTAACTCCCTGCGATCACCTCTTTCATCGGAATTGCATTGTACCGCATATTGAGGAGCATAAGGAATGTCAAGTTTGTAGGAAATTGATTAGTGTTAGAGACATTAAAGCCGTCCAAGTGGGTTCGGGTGAACAAGGGGCAACGGGTACGACAAGTAATCCACCGCCGCCAACAGGAGCCATTCCGAAAGGATATAATACGAGGAGCACTGGAAATAGGAACTTGGAAAAAGGAGTAGGAAAGGAACTAAGGAAAAAACACTTAGCTAATAGGGAACGACGACCGGCTAAACAGGCAAAAGCACAGGCCATAGCTAGTCAAGAAAATCCTCTAGGTAATACCCAAGGTTTAGATTTACCGAACAGGCAAGAAAGGGATAGTGTAAACCACTCGGTGACTAGTTCAGTTAGCTTCGGAAGTACTAATTGGTCGGCACTATTAGAGAGTCTGGAAGCAATAATCGAGGCGAAACTAGCAGGAAGGTCCGTAGAAAATTCACCGTCGGCAGCTCATAATACGACGGAAGCTAGAGATTCGGTCCACAGTAACCCTAGGGAAGTTAATAGGGATAGCAGAGGAAACAATCGATCAATCTGTACTTTGAGTCCAGAAAAGATCACTCATCTAATTCAAAATTGGAGTTTACGGTTTGATGGTGCATCAAAAGGTCTACCGGTTGAAGAGTTTTTATACAGACTTCGAGCTTTTACGCATGACTGTCTTAGTAGTGATTTTAAAGCCATCTGTAGAAACCTACACATTCTGCTTGCAGGAAAAGCGAGAGATTGGTATTGGCAATATCGCAAAGAAGTCGTCGTGATCGAATGGCAGGAGTTCTGTACGGCACTTAAACGACAATACGTGGATTTACGTACAGACGATGAGACCGAAGAAGAGATGAGGGCTAGAAAGCAGGAAGTTGGAGAAAGCTTTGATGATTACTACGATGATGTCATGAGTATTGCAACACGGTTGACAGTACCGCTGGAAGAATCGCGCCTCATCAAAATTCTCATTAGAAATCTTCGTATGGAAATTCGACATCAGATTTTGTTTGAAGAAATTTCATCCGTGGGTCAATTAAGAAAGATGTGTCGCATGAGAGAAAATTTGATAGCAGAACAAGCGGGATTGAAGTCTCAGAACAAGATTTTTGATAGATTTGGGAAGCAGAAAAAAGTATCAGAACTGGAAATGGAACAAGAGCATTTTGAAAGCGTACCAGGAGAAATAGATGCGGTGCAGTTGGCAAAGCGTATCTTAAAATGTTGGAACTGTGAACAGGAAGGACATTGTTGGGACATGTGTGCTCAAGTAAGAACAATTTTCTGCTATGGATGTGGTCAGAAGAACGTTTATAAGCCGCAGTGTGCAGTTTGTCTTAGTCGAAAGTCGGAAAACCCGAAGAAGGGTCCATTCGATCAAGATCGTCGTATGGCCCCGAAGTAGATCAGAATAGTACTCGTTTTGTGCAGGTGGTCGTTCCAAAAGGGGCAGAATTAAAACCACAACCAGCAGAACAACAACATTCACCGGATATGACAATTTTAATACCAGATAGGAAAAAGTTCGAAACGAATAAAATTCAAAGTCGTATTCAGGGATGTCATCGTCATGTTAGGCCATATCATGAAAGGCTAAAAGATTACGAAACAACGCGAGAACGAATATTTAAGAATTCAGAAAAGAATAAATTATCTACGCAAAGAGCGCGGAAGTTTTGGAACGAGGTGAAAACTACCAGAAAATTGCTTATATCGTCAATTTTAGATTGCAAAGAAGATGGGCGACTTTACGCTAAAGTTTCCTTTCTAGATTTTCAAGAGCTCGGTTTACTAGATACCGGAGCAAACATTAGCTGTGTCGGATCCGATCTTGCCACAAAAGATTGGTCAAAATACTCAGATTTTAAACGGATTGTGGGACAGGTGAAAACAGCAGACGGAAAAGGACATGAAATCGTAGGAAAACTTAGAGTTACCATTACGTACAATAACCTTAAAAGAGATTTGAACTTCTTCGTCATTCCATCATTGAACAAAAGGGTTATATTGGGAATAGACTTTTGGAAAGAATTTAATTTGGTTCCAAGTGTAGTCGCTAGTCTCGAAACAGACACACTCATTACAAAAGAGGCGAGTCAAGAACATAAATATCCATTGACAATGCAGCAACAACATCAGCTAGAGTCAGTAGTAAAATTGTTTCCAAATTTTGAAATTCAAGGCCTAGGGCGAACATCTTTACTAGAACACGATATTGATATCGGTAAGGGTAAACCAGTCAAACAGCGATTTTATCCAGTATCACCAGCTGTAGAAAAACTTGTATATCAAGAAGTTGATCGCATGTTAGCTATGGACGTCATTGAAGTCTCTTCGAGTCCGTGGAGTTCTCCAATGCGCATGGTCATAAAACCAGGCAAAGTAAGGCTTTGTTTGGATGCGAGAAAAATCAATGCAGTTACTGAAAAGGACGCATATCCTTTACCCAATATTGAGGGAATATTTTCGAGAATGCCCAAGGCAAATATCATTACAAAGTTGGACCTGAAAGATGCCTTTTGGCAGATTAAGTTGTCAGAAGCAGCACGTCCGATTACGGCTTTTACTATTCCCGGACGTCCTCTTTATCAATTTAAAGTTATGCCTTTTGGGTTATGCAACGCACCACAGACAATGTGCAGATTAATGGATGAGCTAATTCCACCAGATTTAAAACATTGCGTTTTTGGTTACCTGGACGATTTGGTTGTAGTATCAGATACATTTGATTCTCATTTGGAGGTGCTCAAGCGGATTTCAGAACAATTTCGTCGAGCTAATTTGACGTTAAACATTGCGAAAAGTAAATTCTGTGTTACTCAAACTAGATATTTGGGATACGTGATTGGAGGTGGAGGTATTGCCACAGATTTGGGGAAAATCGAAGCTATTATGTCATGGCCAGTGCCAAAAACATTACGACAAGTTAGGGGATTTCTCGGACTTGCTGGATGGTATCGAAGATTTATTCCAAATTTTTCGGATTTGACTTTCCCAATCACACAATTAATTTCAAACAAACGGAAATTTCAATGGACAGAGGAAGCTCAACAGGCTTTTGAAAAAGTGAAGACCGTACTAACATCAGCACCGGTCTTACAGAATCCAGACTTTTCACAGAAGTTTTATTTACATTGTGATGCGAGTGACTTTGGGGTAGGGGCAGTTTTGACTCAACGAGGAAATAATGATGAGGAAAGACCTATCGCGTATATGAGTAAGAAACTGAATACCGCACAACGGAACTACAGTGTAACAGAACGAGAATGTCTTGCGGCGTTGCTAGCGATTGAAAAGTTTAGATGTTATCTAGAGCTTCAGAACTTTGAAGTGATTACGGATCATGCTAGTCTTATTTGGCTAATGAGACAAGCGAATCTTAAAGGTAGACTTGCTAGATGGGCGATGCAATTGCAAGGGTATCGATTTTCTATTAGCCATCGTAAAGGAAAGGATCACGTCGTACCAGATGCCTTGTCGAGGTTATATGAAAACGAAGTATCGATAGTTGAAGGAATAGGACCGTTAATTGATTTAAAAGCAAAGAATTTCAAGGATGCAGAGTATCTATCTACACAAGCTAGGGTGACGGGAGATCAGTGTAAATACCCAGACATGAAAGTTGAAGAAGGATTGCTTTATTTACGTACCGAAAAGGATGAAGGAACGGAAGATTTGCAAGATCAGGTTTGGAAACTTTGGATACCACAGAGTTTAACCAAGGAGGTGATCTCAAGAGCTCATGACTGTGTTGTAGCAGCTCATGGAGGGATGGGGAAAACTTTGGATTTGATTAGGAGACAGTTTTATTGGCCAGGAATGGTTCAACAAATTCGCGATTATGTTCGAAATTGCGAAGTGTGCAAAACAACCAAAGCACCGAACATAATTCTGCGACCACCAATGGGAAAGCAGGCAGAATCTACTAGACCATTTCAGAGACTCTATATAGATTTGTTAGGACCATACCCCAGAAGCAAAAGTGGATTTATAGGCTTACTTATAGTGTTGGATCACTTTTCCAAGTTCCATTGGTTATGTCCACTACGAAAATTTACTACTTCTAGTATTATTTCGTATTTGCAAAATGAGATTTTCTTTGCGTATGGCGTTCCAGAAATTGTGATAAGTGATAATGGAGTACAATTCAGAGCAAAAGAGTTTGAAAGTTTTTTAAAATCATTACAGATCAGACACATGCTGACCGCTATTTATTCTCCCCAAGCAAACGCATCTGAACGCGTGAACAGGTCTATCATTTCGGCGATTCGAGCATATTTGAAAGAAGATCAGAGAGATTGGGACAAGAATGTGGCTGCAATTAGTTGTGCGTTAAGGAACTCTCTACATCAGAGCATTAAAGTTTCACCTTACCGAGCGATCTACGGCATGGAAATGATAACACATGGATCCGAATATGAACTATTACGAAAATTAAATCTTCTAGAAGAGTCCGTACATCCTCTTAAGAGAGAAGATAAATTGGCTTTATTAAGAACCGGGATTAAGAGAAATATTACAAACGCTTATGAAAAACAGGCAAAGCAGTATAACCTACGTGCTAAGGAAGTTCGTTATCATGTAGGACAAGAAGTTTTTAGAAGAAACTTTGTACAAAGTAATTTTGAGAAAAATATCGCAAGCAAATTGTGTCCATCATTTGTTAAAGCTCGAGTGCGAGAAAAGGTTGGAAATTCTACTTATGTCTTAGAAGACTTAAAAGGCAATTTAATAGGAAAGGTGCATGCGAAAGACATAAGGCAATAACAGATTTCAGGTTAATCTGCCCTATGTAAAACATGGCTGATTACCCTGTGGTGTGCTGTGCATGGTTCTCAAAAAAAAAGAGAAAAATTTGGTTTTTAATTTTTCGTAGAATTCGTATAAATTGTTATCGATTTGGCGGGAAATTTAAGCTCATTACGTTAGGAGATACACTCGCGAGTTTCACAACACAGTCAGCTGGGAAGAAAGCTCGTAAACTCGATCGTTTTGAGTGGAGCGAGAATAGGTTCTTGTCGAGCTCAGCGAATTTTCTCTTCCTATTTGATCGTACCAGCGTAACTGACCAGACCTAATTTTTCGTATCGAAATTAAATTACGCGCTTAACCCAGGCTAATAGTATAAGTCCTAAATATTCAAAGAGCAATCTCGAAATATTTAAGGCATCCGTGGGAATTTTAAATAAATCTTCGAAAAGAATTGTTTTGAAAGTGGTCTATAGTTCGGCCAGGTAAATATTTCGTGGAAGATTGTAGGGAGTCACATGGAATTTATAAGACTGTATTCCAGAACAGATTTTGGTTCAAAGCAGGCGCTTTTAAAACATTGCTGTGCCCAACAAAAACATAGCGAAGGAAAATAAAGAAAAAGGTGAGAAATAAGGGGTTTTTATAGTCCAAGACAATTTTCTGACCTAACCTCTCCTCATAGACCAGATCAGGGTCAAGTCAGGGGCAGAAGAACCCGTGGAAAGGGCCGAGCTCCCCGACGCAACTTTCTTTGGCAGACCAGCAGCCGCAGCAACGTTACATATGCGCAGTCTGAGTTTGTTTGATTGACATTAGCGGGAGAGCAGGGTTAACGACCGGAGCAGAACGTTTGGAAAACGGAATACCGGAGACAAGCAGAAGAAGGCGAAGCAGCAGCAATTAGTGAATTAGTGAAAATTTAGGGTTGAGTAAAAGAAATTCGCAATTACATCAAAAAGAAGACATGTAAACGAATAGGCACGTTCAAGATCACCAACACATGTACAACCGGACAAAAGAATAAAGTGTAAAGTAACTAAGACATGCAAAGTGAGTGAAAAGGCAGAGTGAAAATAACCCAGTGAAGCGAGACTTGTAATGCTCTATCACCCCAAACTAACTACCTAAAATCAATAAAAAAAAAATCAAACCGATCTTCTAGAAGGCCTTCTACGATAAATCTGGGTGAGTCCAACAGACCGAATAAAAACAACCAATAAAAACCAAAAGAAATTAACCATGTAAAAGAAAGCGTGGAAACCGACATACCCGTCTCTGTGAGATAGAGTGTGCGATCGAAAGAAGAGGTGAAGAAAGAGAGTTAACAGAGATAACGATGCAATCCGCAAAGCACCTGCACCGATTTTTTGCGTGTTTGTTTTGATTTTGCGTTTGCTGACTTTCCTCGTTTTATTGGTTTCACTTTGATACAAGAAAACCTTAACCCCTTATGATATATTTGCATTGAATTGATTTTTCTATATTCTTATTAGTTTTTATATATTATGTTATTATTTAATTAAAACTTCTTTTCAGCGGTTGTATATGTGAAAGTGAATATGAGCAAAAGCAACGAGATTAAAAATTAGTAAGAATAGAATTTATCAAAGGAATTGTTTGAGCAATAATAATGAAAATAGGGTATAAAAGTCTAGTTATGAAAGCAAAAGAATATTATTATGAAGTATTTAAGTTGTGTTGGCTTATTAAATGAGTTATGAAGATTAAAGGTAATGGTTTCAAGTATTAAGTTTTGTGTAAAAATTATGGAGTAAATAAAATAATTAATATTTCCTTGAAGTAATGTGAAGAAGAAGAGAGAGAAGAGATATCGTTTTTGGGAGTTTTTTCAAATATTTATTGTGCGCAGAAAAGCTCAATGGTCGGGAGGGTTGAGACGCGTTACTGCATACCATCAAGCAGACTCACGGTCCACACATCTCAGTGGAATGGGTGTATTAGTGAGAAATTGAAGAGAGTAGAGTCTGGTTCAAAGTTAATCATTTTTCATTCGTTGTGAGTCGCGTTGCACTTTGCATTGCGTTGATCGATGAAAGTAAACATTAAGGCAAGGGACATTATTAAATGTGTACTCTGAGGTTGGAGATGGAATGGGTCAAGAACCCCCCCACAGGCTGTTTTGCTAGTTGTGTCCCATCGACCTTCTTCACTGCCAACAGGATACTCAGGGAACGTCCAACGTTAAGACCGGCCTCACGCTACGGTCTGCACTGTGCTATATGCATAGAGGGGTTTGGTACATTACACCATATCACCGAGCTGACCTACGATGTTCTCATCAATCAGAATGAAAATCAGATGTCCGCTGTCGCGAGCTGGAGCGCACTATCCTGGGACCAAGGGGACGTGGAGGCGTTAAACGATAGCTACCAGCTGCTGAACGAGACGGTCGTTGGCATTGAGACGGTCAGGCCAAGCCGAAAAGAGGCCACGACAAAGCAGCTGGGGCCCTCGGAGTCCTCCGCTGCTAAAAAGGAGCACAGGAAGAGATTTCTGAAAAGGAAGATGGAGAATTTGAGATTGATGAACGAACGGATGCAGGCCAAAATACGGGCCATTATCAATCCGGGGGACCGCACTGAAGGAGGGGGCCCGCCAACGGCACCAACGTCATGCGACAGCCTCACATCCATCAGTCCCTCCATGCAGCCTTGCTACTGTGTCAACTGCAGGCGCAAGCGCAAGCAGAACCGGCAGACCGTCAGCCAGGTCGGATTCCGGAACGTTGAGCACGTTTCGAGAGTAACGCCTCGGTCAGGTTGCAGAGTTTCGGCCGCTTCTCGAACGCCAACGGGCTGCCAACGATGCCCTGCTTGAGCTCCGATGCTACCGCAACGCCGTCGATGGGGTCCTGCTTGAGCCTCAATGACACTGCAACGCCGTCGATGAAGTCCTGCCTGAGTCCCCCTATCCTCTCGGCCCAGTCGACGCACTCGATGGTGACATGCCTGACCTCCGATGGCCACCCGGTGGAACCTGAAATGCCCGAAAACGGAATTCCCGACACTGGATGGACTTCGCCGATGGTGGTGACTGGTGAGCTTTCTGGCAGACTTTGCCCGTCCCCCGGCCAAACGTGTCGTCCGCTTCTTGGTCTTGAACCGAGGCCCACGGGCACTTGTTGATGGCTGTTCCCCTTTCATAGGTGCCATGCGGCACACAGACAGAGGAACAGCCAACGACAAGTACCCGTGGGCCTCGGTTCAAGACCAAGAAGCGGACGACACCTTTGGCCGGGGGACGGGAAAAGTCATCCAGAAAGCTCAGCGCGGCACCGCAAATGTTCAAGAAAATCATGATGGGGACGGTGGTGGGATTCCTGTTCGTCGGGATGACTATTGCACTGTTCTTTACGGATGTGCCATGCCGCTGATTTTTTTAAATTTGAGAATTAAACAAAATTTTACATTTACATTTATTACATATATTATGTATATTCTACATCTAACATGTGGATTATACATGTACCATTTAGATTCTACATCTCCTCCGCTAGGGGTTGCTCGCGCACTGAACGCGGCAGAGTGTGCGAGCGAGAAGGAAAATGACTTGTGTTGTCGTTTGCGGGAGGGGGGACAGGGGAAGCAACTGAAAATTAATTTCTTCATTCTGGCTATAATTATAATCCGATCTGATTCAGATTCGGCAGTCTGGTAGATATGGTCATTCTCTACGATACTGCGTTTTTAGTTTTATCGTATCTTTAAAACTGTGCCTGCCACAGATTTTCGTTCTTTGTGGGGGCGGAAGGGGGCGGGGCGAAATTTTGAAATACACTTGTAGCAGTGTGATATCACATGAGTCTGGAAACAAAATTTGGTTGCTCTAGCTTTGATAGTCTCTGAGATCCAGGCGCTCATCAAGACGGACAGACGGACAGACGGACGGACAGACGGACATGGCTATATCGACTCGTCTATTGATGCTGATCAAGAATATATATACTTTATGGGGTCGGAAACGTTTCCTTCTCAGCGTTACACACATCCACTTTTACCACAAATCTTATATACCCCTTAACTCTTTTTTGAGTACGGGTATAAAAAAAGCAAATTAAACCTTTGGCATTGCGGTTGGCTTTTTGGATGTCCTGTGAGATGCAGCAGGGACGGGGACGCAAGGACCTTGAGGAGCGACGCCGAAGTGCAGAGTTGCGCATCAACTACGGCAATGCCCCGTCCGCCATGAACATGCGCGGCTCCAGGCCCACGGTGAAGATCCAAATACCCGGCACCGACATCGTGACGAGGCATCGCATCGCCAATCCCATTAGCGGAATGGACCGCGGTCTGCCGATGTACAGCGGCTACGGCTACCATCTGGACAGACGCTTTCTCTCGCCCTCGCACATGAAGCCGATTGGTTCCGGACAGATGCCCCAGGACTTGTCATTGCCCGTGGGCGGGCGAGATCGGGATCGATTTGAGCCCATCGTCTGTGAGGCACTGCCAAAGACGCCGCCCCGCAAGAAGTATCCCATCATCCAGAAGCTTAAGTCCAAGCTAAAGTCCAAGCTGAAGGGCAAGCCCAAGGACCAGAGCAAGACCTAGAGAAGAACAGCACAAGAAGAAGACCGCCAAGAAGTCGCCAAGAAGTCGCCAAGAAAAGAAATGCAATCCAATAAACCAATAAAAGCATCCACTGGAAAAATCAAAAAGCAGTTTAATTTTCAGAGGTTTTCCTCCGCACATCAGATCGGATCAGAGCAGAGCAGAGCGGGGAGTGTTCTGAATATGGGATTATGTATTAAAGGTATTATAGGTAGATAATTTCACACTCTCTATGAGTTGTTTTAGAGCTTTTCTGTGCTGCTTTCTGAGGCATATGAGTGAAATACCGTCAAGGGATTACCTTTAGGCGTATCTATCAGAAGTTGCTGGGACTTCGAAGTCAGAAGTGTGGCGTTCTGCTGCTTTCAATTTGAAGGATAATACAAAACATTCTCCCAAAACATAAACTGACAAAAATCAATAGATTCTGCATGTGTTTTACTTGCTTGGAAAAGTATTTCATCTAGTTAGCATTTACTTTTCTGTTCGTATCGTTTGATTTGAGGCTGGGCAATATTTCATTCTTTCATTTTGGCCTGTACGGTAGTTTATATTTTTTTTTTGTTATTTGACTTAGTGTAAAACAAAATTTCGGTAGTTTTTATTTATTTTTTTTTATACCCGTACTCAAAAAAGAGTTAAGGGGTATATTAGATTTGTGGTGTGAAGGTTGCAGACCAAAAATACAAAATTTAGAATGTCTGGACAAAAATTGTATTAAGAATTTTTTTTGGGAACAGTCTTCTTATTTTATCGCAAAAATATTGAACCTTCCCCACTGTACATGCATTCCATAGAGAGCCCAAATGCAAGATCAGAAGCTTTTATCTTGAAAAGCTCTCTCTTTCGAAATTGCACGTGCGAGTGCCGTTCACATGTGAGCTTTTCTCTCCGCAAGCATAGCTTACGGCTAGCCCTTCGAGAACCTTCTTAGCTCTCTCATACCCAGCTTTTGGAGGGGTAAAATAGTTAGGCTAAGTGCATGCTGCACAGAACAAAAGTGCATTCAAAGTTGGAAGACTTAATTAATGTGCGTACAGAACATATAAAAAGAAAAACGTGGTGAAAATTCTGCAAAACCATAAAAGGGAACATAAACCCAATAAAAACCATTTGAAAAGTGTTGTGGCTGCAAAGAACAAAAACTACAAACCAAACCCTGGATAAGGTACGCAAAGAAAATGAAAAAGTGACCTTATTACATAATTTCACGT